AATTTAAGACGCTTGTCACCCCTGTATTCCGAGTTCATTAGCGCCTGATCCAATCAGGGTTCAGTCATGTGTTTGTTGTTATTCTGAACCAATAGAAATAGTATGGCGGTAACATCTATCTTTCTATCTATCTCATTATCCAATTAGAGTTATGAATCCTTTAATCGGCGCTATCAGTAAACTGAAATATTTACTTTTACAGAAAATATATTTCTATGCCGACAAAAAAAGTAAAAAAGAGACAAAGCTAAAAATGTATGTTTTACAGTGTAGTAAGTAGTAAGTAAGTAATTATATATATTTATGAAATATAACAAAAAAATACATACAATTTTAAGGAGAAATATATTTGAAAACCTCCAAAAATAGAGGCTGTGGGAATATTTCCGCCCAGTTCTAAAAAAATAAAAAATAGAAATAAAAGGAAAAGGAAAAGGAAAGGGAAGGAAAAGTTACATATTTATTATTTGCGTTTTTTTAATATAATTATAAAGATTTATTCACACACAAAGATATAAATACATATATAAATGGTGTAGTTAAAATTTGTTTAAATAAATTGTAATATAATGGCAAAATTCAACCAACTTTAAAATTAGCAATGCAAAAATAAATCTAATTTTTTCTTCCAGATGAGAATGCATGTAGAAGTGGAGTGGCGGGTAGATGAAGGAAAGCAAATTTACAAATTTAAGAAACAAATTTTTTTTAAAAGCTTAAAATTTTTATATTTCTTTTAACGTTTATTATTTTTAAGTTTGCTTTGGCGCAGGACACTGGGTTAAAACGATATGAACTTGAAACATTTAGGAATATTAATCTTAAATTTGTCAGAAAAAAGGAAAAATGTACCAAAATTAACTGATTATTCGCGACAAACTCTTAGTTAAGTTGTAATTCCCATATCTTTAGAACAGTATGGTGTAAACCTTTGATATTTCAAACTTTGTAAATTTGTCTAATATCAGGTTGCAAAGATATAAGTTTAATAAATTAAGTTTATGGTGGCTGTGAGTAATCAGTTTTTTTAGGAAATTATTAATGTCAAACAGGAAAGATATGAAATCATGCTGAGGTCAAATTTTGAAATTTTTTATAATTTTTTAACTTTACACTTATCTGGATCTCCAATGAAAGGGATAATTGCTTGATCTGGTTACAGCCACCAGGATTCAACTTAATCCGTAGGTTTTAAAGGGACTGTAAGCATAATTGTAAGTGAACCTCCATGCAAAGATGGCAATGTCCGATTTACAACGGTACCTGTGTAACTTTAGTTTGATCACAAATGTGGAAGATATCGTCGTTTCTCAAAAAGTGTTTATTTCTGTGAGGTTCTCCATTGATTCTCAAAAATAGGAATGCACTTTTGCAGAGAATCCATCAATGAAAATAAACAGTTTAAAGAAACAAAAATATTGATATCTAATTCATACTTGACCAGACAAAGCTTTAAAGGGTACCGTTGTAAATCGGGCATTGTTATCTTTGCATTGAAATTACCTTTCTTTCTTTACCTAGAATTCCTTGATCCAGGAATGTTCAATCCAGGTGTTGACCTCTGTTTGCAATTACTCAACTGACTTGAAACTATTATATTATAGAACAGTGGCAGAAGATTATATAAATACAATAAAGACGACTTTATTTGAAAGTTTTGATTATCAACAATGGTTAACAATCGAAATTAAATTTACAAGTTTACAAGTAGTCAAAAAGAAGTTTTTTTTAATTGACAGCTTATCTTGACTTTTATGTTTTTGTGTATCCATACTGTTTTACAGGCTAACAGCTGGATATTTATTAAAATTGAAATCGAAAGTCGTCTTTGTTGTGTTGATATAATTGCCTACCTCTCTGCATAAAACGTTTTTTTTTACATTTCTGGTATTTTTAAACCTATAGTTATTTTCAATTATTATTAACTATTTAGTTTTAAAATTAAGATTATTTATAATTTTAGTTATTTTCGTGAGTGTTCTGCATACCTTAATAGGTAAATTATTTTTTTTACTTTTTTAAATCTCAATTTTTCAGTTTAAGTTTTGGGCGCCATTTTGTTAGATAAAAAAAAAACTTTTAAAAAAATCCCAATCATGCTTTTTTAATGATTAGACAGAATTAATATTTGTTGTGAAACTTTAATGAAGCAAATCTCCTAAATTTAAATTGAAAAATTAAATGTGAGAATGTTCTTTTTTGTAGATGTTGCTGGAGTCATCATAACCATTTATTTTGATCAAATTCTTCAACTTGTTCAACATGAAGATTCAGGACCAAGGTTTAAACTTTTATTTTTATTCATTTACGCGACATTACTGGTCCAAATTTGATACGTTATGTTATGATTCTGACAAGTATGACAAGAGCAAACTAATCTGAGCGGAAAACTTTAGAATGGTGGATATTGAGATTAATGCTTAATCCTCTCTTTTTCTTAATATCCCTTGAAAACTTTAGAATGTGATATCCTTAATCTCGATCGGTTAATTAATCTGGAGATTAATAACAAGAGGAGAACAAACATAAATCCAGATATCCACCATTCAAAGGTTCCCAGCTCGGGTTACATACTGGAAATTCCAAACTTGTTTGTTCTTCTCAAGCGCTTTATGCTTGAAACCCTAGATGACAAGGTTTCAATCTGAAGTGCGCGGAATCACATCAATTCTGCGCATGTGCGAAAGACGTCAAAATTAAAATTTGTCTTCTGTCTTCGAGTGAGGAATGTAAATCATAATTGTCATGCAGAAATTAAATTGATTAAAAACTAAAAAAAAATTTCTTACCTAAATCTTATGCTAATTTATCTGAAACTATGGGGCACTTTTTGATAAAAAGTTTCAATCCATCTTGCACCAGTTCTGAAGTTTTCTTTGATACAATAATTAAATTATTGAATAATTATGGTTAAGTACTGTAAGAACCAGAACACTGTGTAATAGGAATACGACTTTACAGCAATGCTTAATGTTACTAAGCAAATAGGTTTAATAGTAACTTATTAAATCACTTCTTTAGTTGAACGGGTATGATTACCCTGCAAAATTGCTGGGCCTCATGTTCATTAGACTATTTAAAGTCATAGCTTCAGTCTTAAAGTCGTCTTCTCATTCCAGAGTTTTCAGATTCTCTCTGCACTTTTAACTTATGCTCGAAATCCGAAATTCCAATTTCTTGCAATTTCTTTTTTTTAAATGCCAAGGAACAATAATAGTTAATTTTTATTTGTGCACTCCATTTAAAAATACTATAATAATTAAATTATTAATTATCAATAAAAAATAATAAATACGCTTGTCGTCGTAAATATCAATACAATGAAGACGACTTTCGATTTAAAATTTTATTTCTACCAAGCAACAGCTATAATAAACATAAGACAAGAAAACAAAGAAATTTGTAACTTGAAAAAAGTTGATCAGATCAGATCAGATCAGATCAGATCAGATCAGAAATCAAAAATCTAAATTAAATAAAAAAGTCGTCTTCAGCGTATTGATAAATCAAACCGTAATATTTTTAAGAAAAAAATTACGATGAAATTTTTTTCTTTTTTCTTTTTAAGGTTGTACGAAGATGTGACAGCGGCAGGGGTTGACATCCTTCACACAGATTTTAGGAACAATATCATAATTTTCAGTCCTTAAAGGGACTGTAAGCGTATTTCAAGTGACCCTCAAGGCAAAGAGGGGAACGGTACCCTTTAAATTTAGTTCCCAAACCACTAAAGTTATCGGTCTATTTTTTCAATGAGCTGGCCTTGAAAAATTGGGCTATGAACATGCATTTCAACTTTATACTTAATCTGTAAGGCCTTTTACTAATCCACGTGCCCTCCCTTGGCTTTACATAGATTCAGACCCCCCAGCCTTTATAGGGTTAAGATTATTTACTTTTCTGAATTGTAGAATTTCAGTGTGATCCGGAATATAAATATTTTGTTCTACACTTTACCATATCTCTTCAGGAACCACAATGTTGATACTTTGATGATACTTTGTTGATACTTTGATACTTTTAAAATGTGTTTTTCTGTTGATAATATTTTTTTTTTGTATTCTTGTTATTGTGCTGGTTGATGTTGTTGCTGTTGTTATTTGATGTAGTTGTTTTTGTTGTTGTTGTGATGTTGTTGATGTTGTTATTGTTGTGTTGTTGTTGATGTTGTTGTTGTTGTTGTTGTTTTAATTGTTGTTGCTGTTGTTTTTGTTTTTATTTGATGTTGTTGACGTTGTTAGTGTTGTGTTGTTGTTTTTGTTGTTGTTTTTATTGTTGTTGCTGTTATTGTTGTTGTTATTTGATGTTGTTGATGTTGTTATTGTTGTGTTGTTGTTGTGTTGTTGTTGATGTTGTTGTTGTTGTTGTTGTTGATGTTGTGTTGATGTTGTTGTTGTTGTTGTTGTTGATGTTGTGTTGTTGTTGTTGTTGTTGTTATTCTTGCTGTGAATCTAAAAACATTGATGAATTATATTAAGGAATGGTCATGAAAGTGGGGGTTGGAAGGATTCAAAGTTTTGTAAAAAATTCCAGCAATGTTCAGGAAACAAATATATTCAAATTGATGGGGTGAGAGCTCTAGTCTGCGTCAGGCCAAGAGCACAAGCCAATAATAAGCCAAGCACAAGCCAATAATAAGCCAAGCAAAGCGAGAAAGGAAAACAAAAGACAAAATATGTTTTCAGCAGAATTTTTGTTTTGAATTATTTTATGTACTTTCTACAGATTTAATCAATGCTCTTTATGATTGTAATTTGAATTAAGAATTAAAATTTTTTGAAAATAAAATATTCTTTTTTGTACTTTGGAAAACAAAAATCATGATTGTCAGAATATTCATATTTTTGTAAATATAGCATGCTAACAAGAATGTTGTGGGTGGGACGTGTTGAAAGAAAACAGTTTAAAATGAAAGCTAAAAGTAATTTAACTGTAAGGAAAGAAACATTTTTTTAGGAACATCCCCCCCCTGAATACGCCCCTGGATTGAAGGTATTTAGCAATGTATTTTCCTTGTATTTGTTTTTAGAATGTTAAACGGATTAGAATGTCTAACAGCTGATCAAGTAGTTAGCAACTATCTTATAGAATGGAGACAGGTAAAATAGTTGTTAGAACAAAAAAGCATAAACTAATAAAGTGTGAAATATATCTATCTAATCATTTAGGGGACCGTTCACTTATTTTGGTAATTTCATGGTAGACTAATCAGCCTATTAGCTATTCATTAATATTAGTCTCACTTTCTCACTTTCTCTCTCAGAGAAACCGGTTCCTAGATTTCAACTCTAGAGATACCGGTTCCTAGATTTCAACTCTAGAGAAACCGGGTCCTAGACTCCAACTCTAGAGAAACCGGTTCCTAGATTTCAACTCTAGAGAAACCAGTTCCTAGATTTCAACTCTAGAGAAACCGGTTCCTAGATTTCAACTCTAGAGAAACCGGTTCCTAGATTTCAACTCTAGAGAAACCGGTTCCTAGACTCCAACTCTAGAGAAACCGGTTCCTAGACTCCAACTCTAGAAAAACCGGTTCCTAGACTCCAACTCTAGAGAAACCGGTTCCTAGACTCCAACTAGCTCTTCGATAAATCATGGGGATTGTAATCAAAAAATTTTAAATCCATGACTATATAGACAAAAAGCATCAAAAATGTAAATGCAAAGTTATAATTCCTTTGCGCTGGAATTCCGAATGATGAATCGGCTTTTTCTCAGACCACAGTTGTCTTTGAAAATTAAGACTAACCCCAATGAATGGCTAGTGGCTATTCAGTTTACCCTCAAATTATCCAAATAAGTGAACGGTCCCTTTAAGAGACAGGTATAGTTGTTATCATATTGAGATACATCTATTCAAACAAATAGAGAAAGCTATAAAAAAACGTTTCATAGAATTAAGTATTAAATTGAGTATTCTTGATTTTCTTAATATCTTTCAGATCAAAAGTATTATATGGGGGATGATTGGGATCTTTTATTAAAAAAGTTATAGTATTATATTTATAATTTCAAATAGGGTAACAATTCTTTTTATCCCCTCTCATCAGATTTAGTTCTAGGATTGAACTTGAACAAAAGAATATTTTAAAATATAATCTCTATTTTTAATCTCCAAGCTTAATCTCTATTTTTAATCTCCAAGCTTAATCTCTATTTTAAACCTCCAAGCTTAATCTCTATTTTAAACCTCCAAGCTTAATCTCTATTTTAAACCTCCAAGCTTAATCTCTATTTTTAATCTCCAAGCTTAATCTCTATTTTTAATCTCCAAGCTTAATCTCTATTTTAATCTCCAAGCTGCAATCCAAGAGAAAAGTGTTTTACTAGCAAACGTTTTGAAATTAAGGAATAACAAATACAAAAAGTTAGAAAAACATGGCGTGTGAATTTGTTTCTAGGGGGAGGAGGTGTTTTTTTCTTAAAACACCCTGCACAGTTGACTGCTCAGTGCTTATTTTCTTGCGACACCCTGCACAGTGGACTGCTCAGTGCTAATCAATTTCTTGAGACACCCTGCACAGTGGACTGCTCATTGCTTATCATTTTCTTGAGACACCCTGCACAGTGGACTGCTTAGTGTGTTTCCTTTTCTTGTGACTGCACTCTGCACAGTGGACTGCTTCTTAGTTCTTGCTCAGTGCTTATCATTTTCTTGAGACACCCTGCACAGTGCTTATCCGTTTCTTGAGACACCCTGAACTGCTTGATGCTTATCCGTTTCTTTTAGACACCCTGCACAGTGGACTGCTAAGTTCTTGTCCTTTTCTTGAGACACCCTGGACAGTGGACTTCTTAGTGCTCATCCTGCTGGAAAACTATTTGAAGAATGTGTGTTGCATTACATTTTTGTCCACTCACATTGTCCAGTATACAGTTAGAGATGGGCATTGTCCAGTATACAGTTTAGAAGTGGACATTGTCTAGTATACAGTTTAGAGATGGACATTGTTTACAGTTTAGAGATGGATTGTCCAGTATACAGTTTAGAGATGGACATTGTCCAGTATACAGTTTAGAGATGGACATTGTCCAGTATACAGTTTAGAGATGGGCATTGTTTACATTTTAGAGATTGACATTGTCCAGTATACAGTTAGAGATGGGAATTGTTTACAGTTTAGAAATGGACATTGTCCTGTATACAGTTAGAGATGGGCATTGTTTACAGTTTAGAGATGGACATTGTCCAGTATACAGTTTAGATATGAACATTGTCCAGTAAACAGTTTAGAGATGATCATTGTCCATTAAACAGTTTAGAGATGGACATTGTCAAGTATACAGTTTAGATATGGACATTGTCCAGTATACAGTTTACAGATGGACATTGTCCGGTATACAGTTTAGAGATGGACATTGTCAAGTATACAGTTAAGAGATGAACATTGTCCAGTATACAATTTAGAGATGGACATTGTCCAGTATACAGTTTACAGATGAACATTGTCCGGTATACAGTTTAGAGATGGACATTGTCCAGTATACAGTTTAGAGATGAACATTGTCCAGTATACAATTTAGAGATGGACATTGTCCAGTATACAGCTTAGAGATTGATTGTCCATTATACAGTTTAGAGATGGACATTGTCCAGTATACAGTTTAGAGATGGATATTGTCCAGTATACAGTTTAGAGATGGACATTGTCCAGTATACAGTTTAGAGATGGACGTTGTCCAGTATACAGTTTACAGATGGGCAGCATTTTTATTATACAGTTTAGAGATGGACATTGTCCAGTATACAGTTTAGAGATGGATATTGTCCAGTATACAGTTTAGAGATGGACATTGTCCAGTATACAGTTTACAGATGGGCAGCATTTTTATTAACGTTTAAACGAACTTAAGACGTTATTTAAAAAATGACTTTGAATTCAAATAAATGGATCCAATTCACAATGGCTTTGTTTGTTTGAAACCTAATTATCTTTAGTTGTGACTAAAAAGTCAATAACGCATTTTTACTTAAGAAACATATTGGTAAATTATCAGAATTAAACACTTTTGATGCTATAAATAAGAGGATATCTTCCTTGCTTACAGTTCCGTTTAGGTTTTTGAATTTTCAGAATATTTTTAGTTTACAAAAATCTAAGACATCATTTTAATCATATATTGATATTGTATTCTCTATAAGTTTGCTTTTATAAAGCTTTAAAAAACATTACTCTGGCAGAAGATGTAAAACAAAATAACTCAAAAACCGGTTTTACCCATCGTTTTCGTTTTTACTTCGTTTAGGCCGTAAACAGAAACGAAATTTTTAGTCCAGTAATTATCTTTTAAAGATGAGCGCTTTCGGCTTTTTCCATTTCATACGTTTATCGTTTGTGAAAACGACCCATTTAATTCGTTTCTTTAATTGTTCTCTTAACGATCAAAGTCGTTTTTTCATCGTAACTTTTTTTCCTGAACAACACCATCGTTCACGTCAAATTGTGTTCGTTAACAACAACGATGCTCATCTGTACTTATCTACTCAACTCAAACAGAACGAATAGACCGCAGTAAAAAAATAATGTTTTGCATTAAAGTTGAATACAAGTTAAAGATGCAATTTCAAGTAGTTTTAACAAGGCACAATGCGCCCTAATTAGCAAAGCAGTCACTAAAACTGGGAAAAGTTGGAAAATTCTTAATTTTTTTAATTTATTCAAGGCTGTAGAGATTACTAGAAGTGCACAAACAATAGTGTTTATGAGTTTTTATTTAGATTAAACGTCAAAATATTTTTTCCAATAATAAATGGCGAAAATGTACAAGAAAAGTTTCGTTCATTCTGGCCCTACAGGACATCTTTAAAGGGATTGTAAGCGTAATTTTAAGTGACCCCCCCTCCCCATGAAAACTGATTATTTTTTATTGTATGTTTCTCTACGAAAATGACTTGCGCATTTCTACTGCAGGGAAGTAGAAAGAAATTATCAAAATTAATCACTTTTAAACCTAGAAAAACGACAATATCCTCCACATTATTGATCAGATGAAGGTGTCAATGGTATCGTTGTGAATCGGGCATTTCGATCTTTGCACTTTAAATAACGCTTAGAGTCCCTTTAAGATTGATTTTGAATACATAACTTTAAAAATTGTGATAATATGTTCTTTCTAGTTATAAGTAAAAATAAATCTTTATAAACAATTAAATATATTTCAGAAATATATTTAAAAATCTTTTAAAGAAAACAGTATGAATATTGTACCGAAAATTTTATGGTTTTGACCCATAGAACGTTCAATTGTGATTCTAATTGCAAACACTTGGGTCACGGGCAGCCGTAGTACATTTGAATTTCCGAGCCGGGTCAACCTTTCCGGTCCCAGTTTGTACTGTATCGCCCGGACATTGGGTTAATAAAGCTTACACTCAATAGGACTAGCCGGTGCAACAAGGTTGACGTGGTCAGACTTTAGGTTGAATTTACTTTTACTAAAGGGTCAGAGGTGCGTGTTGTATTCATATAAAAAGTGGAAACATTCCTTTTAAAGTTAAATTTTGTAGATAATGGGTTTACGGGAGGATTTCAGCCGAGCACTGTCTGAACTACCAGAGGATTACTGGAGAGGGGTTCTTAACCACACCATAGAGAACCTAGAAATAGCTTTAGGTAAAACCTAGACATAACTTTAAGTAACATAGAGAACCTAGAAATAGCTTTAGGTAAAACTAGACAAAACTTTAAGCTAACATAGAGAACCTAGAAATAGCTTTAGGTAAACCTAGACATAACTTTAAGTAACATAGAAAACCTAGAAATAACTTTAGGTAACATAGAGAACCTAGAAATAGCTATAGGGAACGAAGAGAACTTAGAAATAGCTTTAGATAGCATAGAAAGCCTAGAAATAACTTCAAGTAACATAGAGAACCTAGAAATAGTTTTAGGTAATATAGAGAACTTAGAAATAGCTTTATATAGCATAAAAAACCTATAAATAGCTTTAGGTCACATACAGAACCTAGAAATAGATTTAGGTAACATAGAGAACCTAGAAATAGCTTAAGGTAACATTGAGAACCTAGAAATAGATTTAGGTAACATAGAGAATATAGAAATAGCTTTAGATAGCATAGCAAACCTATAAATAGCTTAAGGTAACATAGAGAACCTGGAAATAGCTTTAGGTAACATAGAGAATAAAGAAATAGCGTTAGATAGCATAGAAAACCTATAAATAGCTTTAGGTAACATAGAGAACCTAGAAATAGCTTAAGGTAAGATACAGAACCTATAAATAGCTTAATGTAAGATAGAGAACGAACCTATAAATAGCTGTAGGTAAGATAGAGAACCTAGAAATTTCTGTTTAAATTTTATTAAAAGTTTTTTTTTTGAGTTTATCAAAGTATTAATCATGAAGAGATTCTAACAAATTGTATCAAATTTAAATTAAAACAGATTCCATTTAGGTTTCATTTTATGTAAACTCTTTTTATGAGATTCTTGTTAATGATCCCATCAAAGTAGTTTTATGTTTTTATTAAATTCTGATAAAGGACTTTATTCAAGATTTATGAGATTCTATCAATGTTTTAAAAGATTCTATCAACAGTTTGACAGATCGAACATTGCAATGGTTTTAACAGAATGTTACCAATTGTTTAGAGAGAAGACGCGAGCAATGTATAGATTCCAATTTTACATTCCAGGACTTCAGGAACATTTTTTATTTATTTTATTAAAAATTAAAAATTTGAATTTTTTTATTAAAAAATCAATTTTTTGAGAAGTTTTTTTTAAATAATTTTATTTTTTAATAAATTTGATGATTTTTTTATTTAGATTCTCTTTTATTTTTAATCAAATTTTTTATATATAAAACAAATACAAATCCCTGTTTTTAAATTCAGATTTCATTAAAAAACAATGTATGCAGTGATCGGCCGAAAAAGTCCCAATACCTCAAGGACTTTGAAGATAGGAATGAGAATAGAATCTTATATAAAAAGATTGAAATAGTTTGTAAATGATATGAATTGTTAATTTCAAGTTGAAGGGACTGTATGACCCACCATGTATAGATGGCAATGCCCGAGGCTAAACGGTATCCATAAGATGACTGCGCATTTCTACTGCAGGAAAACATATAGGAATTACCAAAATTTAACACCATGAAAAATGACATTTTCTTATACCTTGATCAGATAAAGGTTTCAAGGGTACCGTTGTAAATTGCCGTCTTTACATGGAGGGTCACTTGACCCCCCAAAAATGGTTCTCAACTATAGTTGTTCTTAATCTTGTTCTGACTCATAATCTTGTTATAGTTCTTAATCTTGTTCTGATTCATAATCTTGTTATAGTTCTTAATCTTGTTCTGATTCATAATCTTGTTCTAGTTCTTAATCTTGTTCTGATTCATAATCTTGTTCTAGTTCTTAATCTTGTTCTAGTTCTTAATCTTCTTAATTTTGTTCTAGTTCTTAATCTTGTTCTAGTTCATAATCTTGTTCTAAATTCTAATTAAGATTAAAGTTAAGTGTTAGATCCCGAAACATGCAAAAATAATTAAAATTATTAATTTATAGATTCTAAACCCAAATTATGACTAAGGCTGGAGTCTAAGCAGAATTATAAATCTGTGATTTTAATGAAAAACCTGGAGATGATTACAATGGCAGCTAATGCAGCAGCTTCTGTTCTCTTAGGAGTTTTAGCATGTTCATCTTGTCAGGTAGCTTCAAGTCAATCAATCAATCAATCAATCAATACATTAAGTTATCAATCAACTTATCCATCAATCAATTTATAAATAAATACATCAATCAATTTATTTATCAATCAACTAAACGGTTCATTAATTATTTAATTCAGCTATTAATCAATTAGTTCATCAATTAATCAATTTATAAATCAATCAATTTATCAATCAATCATGTCAGTTCATCAACGGACCAATTTATAAGTAAACAATCAATTTTTAAAGAAAAAAGCAGGAATATCTAGCCAATTCTTGATCAGAACCAAGCTTTTAAGGGTAATGTTAAAGAGTCTTGATTCGGATTCATTCTTTGTCTCATTTATTTTTCATACACAATCCCTTTAATAACTTTATGTACAGCTCCCTCACCTGTACATGCCTTGGCTGCTCCTCACTGCATTTGAGATTGCTGGGAACCTTTGCGTAGTGGTTGTCTTCTCAGTTGTTCCAGGTAAACAGCTGATTAACACAGCTGTTCAATACAGCTGATTAACACAGCTGATCATAACAGAAGATCATAATAGATATTAAATAAAGCTGATTTTAACAGTATATAGATCAGAAAAACTGTTCAATACAACTGAAAAGAAACAACTTATGTTAAAAATTAGATAAAACGAAAACTCCGAAACGGTCTCCAAACGTAATAAGTTATTGTTTGTATTATCATTAAAAGCATCTATTTAAAAATAAATATTTTACACTTGAACTTTTTATTTTGCAAAAATTTTATTTTTACATTTCCATAATTTTTTAAAATTAAATATATTTTTGATGTAATTATTTACATTTAGGATACTGCCACCTGACCTGCCTAATCTGCCTGGTCAAGGTTATATGGTTAGGAACCACGTGGGCTAAAGCAATTAGGAAAGTTAATCAAAAAAAAACAAAGGCAAAGTTTCTTTTAAATTGATAAAAACATTCTTTATCCATTGGGATTGACAAACAGCCAGGCCAATTAAAATATGAAGAAAAAAACTAGAATTCTCTTTGAATTAAAATTTATTTTTTGAAGAAAAACTGTTTAACTATGAATTTAGACGCTCCATGGTTATAGGACTACCAGCAAACCCAGGGTAAGAATTGAATTAAAAATATTTTGCCATTTATATAAAGCGAATTTTCAGCAATGAATATTTTTAGGCAAGATGATGAGCAAAGAATGCTGAGGTCTCAGCTCAGTTTCAAGGGAAGACAGAGGTTCGGCAGGATTTTTGGCTCATATCAGTGAAAATCCAACTTTTTGGCTCAGATCAGTGAAAATCCAACTTTTTGGCTCAGATCAGAAAAGTAATTTGAATCACACCAGTAAACTTTTGGCTTGAACCTGTGAATTTGTACTTTTATCAGTGAAGACTTGCAGAAAAAGTCATTGCCAAAAATAATTGTCATTTAAACATTCTCTATAGAATTAAATTACTTAATCTTGGGCAATATTGTGCCAAAAATCATCTCTACTTCGAATGAATGCACAATTTTGTGCAACACAAATTAAGCAGTGCGAAAACGCGCAACTAATTGTGCAAAACACCCTATTTATCTATGAAGAAACCCAGCACTGTTTTGTGTCAAAATCCCCATATTTACCACTGTGTTGCATCGTGTTATGACCTGTAAATAACATGTTAATGATATGTTAATAATCTAAGAAGGGGGATTTTTTCTAAGGCTGATTTTAATTTTAAAAAGACATTCACAAAAAGTCAATGATTAAGATATTTGTCAGTTAAACTTTCACTTCAGAATTTATCTTATGTGTGTTGCAACGTATCATGATCTATCTCTTATTTTTTAAGAATTTGTTCGCAGATTTCTTTAAATTCTTCAAATGTCGTCTTTTTAATAAAAATTCCAGAAAATCTGCAAAAAATCTTCGTGATTTAATGTTTGATCATGTTAACAATCTAAAAAGGAGAGACTTACTATTCAAAGCTCTCATAATTCTGTACTTTTAAAATCAAATGTGTTATTTTTAATATTCAAAATATGACATTTTTATTACAAAATCCTTAATTTTTTGCACAATAAAACTTCCTTTTTGTCTGTGTACAGGGTAACCACTCAGAGATGAGACATCAGAGACAACTTTACAGATATTGTTCATTCTTGGTCTTGTGAACTTTCTTTGCTATTTCAAAAATCTTTACAAAGTAAATCCTTTATTCCAGGAAAATAGCAAATCTAAAACCTGCTGCACATGATATTAAAAGTCATTATAGTTCCATCCTTTAGTTTTATTTATACATTTAATTCAATAAAAGATTTAATAATTATTAAAAACTATTCAAAACTATTAAAAAAAATATTTTTTTCTGGGTCATACATTAAAAAGAAATATATATTATAAATACAAATTAAGTTATTTGTGATGATTTCTTCTCTTTGAACACAAGCTCCAAATTTTGGCCTGTGGCGAGTTTTTTCAAAGGCAAAGTTGACATAATCACATAATTCAAATTCAGCAATACTCTAAAATCAATTGTTTCGTTTTTGGAAAGAAACGATCGTTTTATAAAACGAACCACTCCTTTTGAACTTCAGGGTTAAGTATTAAAATCATTAATTATTCAATGGTGTGTTTTTACTTTTTACTTTTTCATAAAAATAAATATCTAACTGTTTTTTTTTCTGTTGAATAAAATAATTTTCATTCATTAAGATTTAAAGATTATTGATAATCTCAGATTTTCCTAAATATTAACATTTAATTTGATTGTTCTGGAGGAACGGAGAATAAACATCATTCCTTTGGTCATTAAGACGATTGATTGATAACTTGGCTAAAAGGCGCATGCGTGGATCTCTGGACATGATTATGATGGACATTTANGTGGTTTTACAGCTGCGATATGGACTTATGGCCGCAGCGCCCGGCCCCCTAGCCTGTCCTAGCCGCGGCGCTCGGCCCCCTAGCCTGTCCTAGCCGCAGTGCTCGGCCCTGAAATTGTCTTAACCTAACCTAACCCTCAAATAATACAAAAATAAACAGCTGACGTAGGTCCGATATTGCAGTAGGTCGGAAAGTTAGTAGGTCGGAAGTTCAGTAGGGGGGATGTTGCGTATAGACGATGTAACATTACCCATGATAGACATTCAAGTTATGTTACCTTTAATGCGATGCATGGATCTCTAGACATGATCATGATAGACATTCAAGTTATTACCTAATGCGCTTGCGTGGATCTCTAGACATGATCAAGATAGACATTCAAGTTATGTTACCTTTGCTCTACTACAAATTATTAAAAATTTTTGTAGAAATCACAGTTAGCCGGTGCAACAAGGTTGACGTGGTCAGACTTAAGGTTGAATTTACTTTTACTAAAGGGTCAGAGGAGCGTGGTACCTGTAACGTATTTTCCTCAAAAAGGCATCTTCCTTAAAATTACGTTTTCATTTTCCTGATTCCCGCCTTGGGCGCGAACTTAGATCACTGAATTTTCTGGGATTTTATCAACTTTACCATTACAGAGTCTTGCCAAAATATTATTGTTCAAACTTAAAAGAATATTATTAATGGTAAGACAACAATCGGTGTTGTCTTACCATTAATAATATACTGTAGATAAAACAAAAAATGCTGTAAATTAAATATATATTTACATACTACATAGAAAAATACTTTTAGGATAAATAAATGCAAAAATTTGGCAGCTTAAAGGAATCATATGAACAAAAGGTTAAATACTGAGAATGAGACTTTTAAAGGGAACTTTAAAAGTTTAGCAAAACTACATATAGATTGTTCATGATTTCTTTGTCTAATGGTTTCCTGTGGGAGGGGGGAGGGGGGGACTGGCATGTCCAATTCAAATAGATACCCTGACTATTCGTCGAAAATCAACGACGGATATATATCTGTATTCTTCTGGATGAAAATTAAGTGCCTCCGAGAGTGTACACTCGAGTTCTCGGACATTCAGAAAATACGCAAATACATCTTCTTCTGTTGTCAGAGAAAATATTACAGGGTACAGATGTGAATCTGACATACCAATCCAGACATAAACAGAATAGTCCCTTTAACATAACATTGAAGAGCTTTAAGTCCCTTTAACATAACATTGAGGAGCTTTAAGTCCCTTTAACATAACATTGATACTGTACTGTACTGTACTGTACTGTACTGTACTGTACTGTACTGTACTAAAACAGCAGGGGTGTATATTTTCAAATAAGGAGAAATATCAAAATGCAGTTTTTACCTGAAAAATATTTTTTCTTCCCTAATTCAGCGAGATAAGACTCATAAAAATTGTTTGCCCTCCATGCAACCATACGAAACATCTGGAGGGAAAATATCACTTCCAAAGAAGGGGGAGGAAATGATTTTTCATAAAAAAAATACACCTTGCTGTACTGCAAATGTTACTCACCTTAAACCCATTTATATCTTTGAGAGGATCACTGTCAACAAGAAAATATTGCCCTGAGTCAATGTTCCAGCAAAATTTAAAGCTCGCCTGAAATAGAATATTCAAACATTAAAAATAATTTTAAAATATATTCATCATTTATATTTGTCTAAAGCAAAATTACATTAAACAATATAAAAGTTTATAATTTAATGCTTATACTCAAGCTCTGGCTATCGCATTTTATAATTGACAGGGTTTGCCAAAAAAACAGGTGCATTACAAGACTTTTAGCATAATTTAGTTATTCAGAGGTGGTTTTCAGAAATGGAGTTTCTTGGTCCCAGTCTAGCGTTTTTCGTGTTCTAAAAATGTGGTACGATGACACCACTGCAAGGCTCGATAGATTTTCGCACATTGCTTTGAATGGGTTTACAGAACTTATGCAGTTCCTTTAGATTTGCTTTATTTGATGGTGAGATATATCCTCTTGAGCCGATTTCAAAAGGGTGAACAGACACATTCCTAGTTGTTATATCTATGATAAAATGTTCATACTTGTTCATCTTTTGAGCGTTGGCATTTTTGATATTTGTTTCCAATGGGACAGTAAGCTCAAAAATATCCATCTTTTCCTCCGTTCTATAGATAATTACTAGATCTGGTTTCTCTGCGGTCACAAGGAGGTGTGGGGGGGGAACATTACCTCCCCCTGGAAGGATATGGGACGGGATGTCGGCATACATCAAAAATCAGTCAATAATGTGGTTTGTTGAAACATTTTTTCTGCAAAGTCTGTGATGGAAATTTTGCGGAGCCAATTTTTTTCCCTGTCTAATTTAGATTGTAAGGCAGAGTTAACTGTTTCATCACCCAGTATTCTTATCCTAGTGTATTCTTAGCCTAGTGTATGTCATAGTTGTTTTGTACAGGGTGGATATTGAAGTGATGTCTAGGCCAGGTTTCAAGTGTAGAGCAGTATTTGTTGCACAGGGTGGTAATCCAGTCCATTTTTTCACAAATTTATCGGTGAATGTATCTAGTTTCTTCAGATGACTCTGTGATATTGTATGAACAGTGAGCAAAAATCGAATAGAAGGAATGAAATAATGTTTGTAGATCCAGACTTTATATTCATACGAAAAAGAAGTGCATTTAAATTAATAAGTTTTGTTTCAAATTCACTCTTGATGTAATCGAACGGATCACTAAGTTTACCAGTAGGAAATAGAAGTTTTCAACGGAATTTCAGCTCTTCTTGAAATATATTTGGAATTTCAGTTTCACCAAGAGTAAAGTTTATTCTACTAGGTACACCTGATCTGATGGAAAATGTTCTACGTTTAGCTGGTTTTAATCTCATTCCCATACTTTCAATCTTGGATTTTATTTCATTTTGAATATTTTGATGTTTTCTCAGATCTGTTGTTATCAGGCAAAAATCGTGAGCATATGGCAGAGTAATAATTTTCTCTTCATTCAGATTAAATCCACAATCATTCTTACTCTGTAGAATAATATGATGGGACTAAATGTGTCACCTTGAAATACTCCTCTTTTAAAGGGAAACCCATCAGAAGAGAATTTGTCCGTAAATACACGAGAAAGTTGATTATTATACGGGGTGTTGATATAAAGCTGAATTTCTGCAGGGAACATTAAACCTTTTGAGGATATGTATGATGAGAGGGTTCGGCACCGAACCAAATGCATCTTTTAAATCGAAAAATGTTACATGGACCGTTTTCTTGTTTGTTTTTACTTGGCTTATAATCTCTTCAAGGACGACATTATGCTCAATAGTGCCGGGCCATTAATGCCCGGTAGAAAGACCTTCTCTAATAATTCTCAACGATATAATTTTAAAAATAAATATTGAACTTTAAAAATAGAGGAAAACCATGAGGAAGTACTCAAATACTCAATTAAAAATTAAAAATCTTGCTTAATTCCTAGACAAATCTAGAAATAAGCTAAGGAATAAAGAAAGAAGGAGAAAATGAATTGACTAATAAGATTATTAATGAATGAATGACTAAATAAGAGGAAGGAGGAAAGGATGAATTAATGCAAGAATGAATAAAAAATACATAAATAAATGAATGAATTAACAAATAAATGAAAGGATGAATGAATGACTGGAATGAATAAATGATTGAACACTAGAGAATGAATGAAAAAATGAATTAAATAAAACAGATAGGATGAATTAACAAAAGAATGAATGAATGAAATAGTAAAAAAGATGAATTGGATGAATAAATGAATGAATGAATGAATAAATGAATGAATGAATAAATGAATGAATGAATATATTGTACCTGATACTGTTTCCTGGATAAAGATGAAACATTAAACTTCTGAGAATGAGATTTGGTGAGAATGGCAGCCTAGGTAAATGAATAGACAGATGGATTAGATAAAAATATAGAACTTCATCAACCTCCTCTATACCTTCATAACAATATTTCAACCATATGGCATGATTTTAAGGTTTTGTACGCTAGTTTAAATTTAACAATTTGGGAGGACACAAAGGCAGAATTATCAGAAGGAGCTTAAAAGTCTAACAAAAATAATTATTCCACCCCCCCTCCCCACCACAGAACATAGATTAGAATAGAAGATTTGTTCAGTCCCTTTGAGTCTGAAAAGGAGTTCAAAGTGTACACTGTTGAAAGTGTACACTGTACAAAGTTCAAAGTGTACAGTTCATGCAAATTTCTTCTTTTTATAAAATTTATGCTTAAATGAACTATGTAATGTAAAGTAAAGCTTATGCAGAAATGAACTAGGGAATGCAGGTCAGGTTGTCAAAGAATTGATTTAGAGAACATTTTCAAGAAATTTATTTCTTTTAAAAGATGTTCCACCTGGATTAGTACAACAGCAACAACAATAACATCACCAGAGACAGGATCAACGTCAACCATCTTGAAATAAAAATATAACTTCAATTTTAAGGACAATATTTTTGTATTTTAAATCTATTTCAAAGAGGAAAGTAACATACCCCACTCCCCCTCCCTTGAGGTTTCGTTTTAGCTGTCGTCTTCGTTTAACTTATAAATCTCTTGGTGGATTTCCATTTGAAAATATTTTATCAATAGGAAAAAAGTCACTGTGTTTAAACAAAAAAATATTATTATAAATAATTATTATCATTATTTATTATCATCATTATTAGCATTAATAGCATTGTTGGTATTATTATCATTATTATCATTATTAGCATTATTAGTATTGTTAGTATTATTATCATTATAGGCATTTTATCATTATTAGATTTTTTTCCTCATATGATTATCGTATTATCTATATTAAGCCCTTCGCTCATATATATATCTTTGTATATATCAGCCAATTTGGTCCAGTCGTTAGGCCAGTTATAGCTAACATACATACATTACTTACATAAAAATATATGAGCGAAGAGCTTTATTATGAAATAAAATTTAAAAAATTTAGATTTCGAAAAAAATTCGTTTTTGAGCTCACGAATAACCTAAAAAAATTCAGCCAATTCGGTCCAGCCGTTTTGCCTGCTATGCTAACATATATATATATAAATCTAAATAAAGCTCTTCGCTCATACATTTTTATGTAAGTAATGTATGTATGTTAGCTAAAACTGGCCTAACGACTGGACCAAATTGGCTGATTTTTAACGAAAACTCATGGGTACCCTGGGAGTAACATAGGCTAAAAAAATCAAATATTTTTTCTTCAGAAATCGGATTTTTTTTATATTCGATTTAAACAAATTCCACGGGTAACGCCGGTTACCTTTGCTAGTTATCATTATTCTAATACCTCAACATCATAATCATTACAGAACCAGAACTTCTTGTTGGCAGCAGCACACAATCTGGTAGCAGTTTCATGACAGAACTGCTCTAGGTCTAAGCTACGCTGCTCCACAAGAATACAGTCCAGGGATAGCTTCTCAGCCTATATAGATAGATAGATAGATAGATAGTTTTGGAGCAGTTAGAACAGCTAGATAGATAGACTGACATATAGATAGATAGATAGATAAATAGACAGACAGAAAAACGGACACTGATTTATGGATAGATAAAAAGATAGTCTAGTAGCAGTTTCATGACAAACTGCTCTTGGTCTTTACTATGCTGTTACTTCATCCTATCTTTGCTTCGTATATTAAACAAATTACTACAGCTGCACAGAGGTCGACTGGGTATTTCAAAAGAACCAGTGAAGACTACATTTTACCTTAGAATTAGAAATCATCTGCACCTGGTTATATCCGGATCCATGATCTTCACAAGTGATAGCTTTACCTTAGAATTAGAAATCATCTGCACCTGGTTATATCCGGATCCATGATCTTCACAAGTGATATTTTTACCTTAGAATTAGAAATCATCTGCATCTGGTTATATCCGGATCCATGAACTTCAAGTGGAAGAGCTGAGTGGAAACCTGAAATATTATTGGAATTCAACATCAACAAGAATTTCAGTAATGGTCACGGATTTCCTACATCAGTAAATCTGAAATTAGATCCAATAAAACTGAACGCTTTGTGGGACCTCACCGGGCCCAATCCTTGTTGGATTCGTTTATATTTATTAAAATTTAAAAAAATCAATAAATTTAAAAATCAGTAAATCTGAAATTAGATCCAATAAAACTGAACGCTTTGTGGGACCTCACCGGGCCCAATCCTTGTTGATTCGTTTATGTTTATTAAAATTAAAAAAAATTTTAAACATGGAAATCTGAAAATTACTAAATTATTATTGGTTAATGGTCGCAGCCCACCGCAGGAAAAGACAAACTAAAAGGCTAAAATTTGTGCAAGAACTTGCTATAAAGAGAATTAATAACTTTTTATTGGCTGGGGGACCATTACAGAGTC